AGGGGCGCCTTCCAGGCCGGGGGACGCACGTGTGCGCGCGCACAACCGCATCCACTGCGCGCTTACTCCAGCACCCTGCGCTGGAGTGGGGCTGGGGCTGGTCGCCTCTCCGGGGCGGTCATGTGAAACAGGGCGGCCTGGGGCAGGGGGTCGGCGCCTTCTGCAGCTGCAGCTGCGCGCGTCGCTGCTCCCCGGGCTGGAGCCCTGGAGTGGATCCCCAGTGACACCTTCTTGAGTGGCTGAGCAGCTATCACCGCTATCACCACCATCACCATCATCATCACCATCCCAAGCAGGAGCGAAATCCGCACTAGCCCAGAAGCCAAACATCTCGGCCCAGCTGGCTCCGTCCGCTCCGGAAAGGGAGCCGCTGCTTTAATGACAAGCTATGCAATGCCAGCCGCAAGCTTCAAGGCCAGGGTTGACCATCCGGGGCCCTTTCTCGCCCCTCTATATCGAGGCGCCAGAGATGAGGCATCGTCCCTCGGAGGGGTCCACCTCCCCTTGGCAGGGTGTCACCAACCCATCGGCCCCGAGGCACGCAGGCCCAGCCAGCCCTGGAAAATGCACTTCCCCGCCTGTGTCCAACCCGGGGGCTCTGCAAAGGTGAGGGGGTCCCGGGGAAGGGCAGCCTGCAGCGGCTCCCAGACGCCCCCCAGGCCCCGCTCCCACAGCGGGAAGCAGCAGCGAGGGGGCTCTGGGCGTGGGTGGGGGGAGCTGGAGCCTAAGCTTCGCCGCCCGTGGCAGAGTCAAGGAGATCCCGGGGACCTGGAAACTATGCAGGAAGGCAGTGACACTGCCAGTGATCCTGGTAGTAAGAAGTCATAGTTATAGTGCTAGGAATAAGCCTAATAGTCGTCGTCCTCTCCTCTCTCTGCACCACGTTTGACCATTTCGTTACACGTGCTTGGGGTCCTTTATTGTGCTTGCCAAGGTCTTCCATTGTACCTGCGCTTTCAAGCAGCCGAGTAATAGTAATAATGCTAGTAATAGTACTAGTAATAGTAATGTGTCATAGTAATAGTGATAGCGACAGGAGTAATAGTGATAGGAGTAATGAGTAATAGTGATAGTGATAATAGTAATAATGGTGGTGATGGTGATGATCATATTGAGGCTGAGGATACTAGTACTACTACTACTACTAACAGCAAGTGTTTGGTGCCAGAAGCGGAGCAAGTTGCCTGCAGCCCCTGAGAGGGATATTTCAGGCAGGGCGGAGCGGGGCGGGGGGGGTGCCCCAAGCCCGTGTGTCTCACATGCCCCAAGGCAGAGTCCCGTGCGCCAACCTGCGCCCTATGGCGGGCCGGGCTCCCGCCTTGCCAAACAGAAGTGGCGAAGGAGGGCTGGGGGAAAAGTGCAAGGAGCGGGCGGCGGGGGCCGGGGAGCCCGCAGGCAGGGCGTGCCGCTGTCGCCTCCCGCGCGGGTGCCCGGGGCCCTCGGGGCAAAGCCTCTGGCCCGTTTCTGGGCGCCGCCGGAACGAAGCCCGGGGCCGGGCCCGGCCGAGCACTGCTCTTCCTGCCCCGGGGCGGCGGCCGGTGTTTGATCGGAGAGGTGGGCTCTCGGGGGCAAGTCCGCGAGGCCGACGCTTCAGTCGCCGGGTTTCCCAGCCCCCTTCTTGCCCCCTGCCGCCCCAGGGCTCAGTCCGATGCTCCCAGCCGCCGGCACGGAGGCGCTAATGATGGGGGGTGGGGGTGTCCCTCCAAAACCCTGGCAACGGCGCGCCGGAGAGGGCTCGGGCCCTGCTGGATTTCCAGCTCAGCTTTGTGCGATCTCCTGCTTGGTTCAGCTCCAGGGTCAGGGGAAATTGCCTTTGAAAACCAAGCGGATCCACAGGGCCCGATTCCCTCGGCGCCCCCCATCCCTCCAGCATCAGTTCCCGCCGTCCCCCCTCCCCCCCAGCCTTCCAAGCGCCGGCAAGAAGTGGCTGTGGGGGGCAAGGACTGTGGTGGTGGAAATAATTTTATTTCTTCAGAATATACAGTTTAATTCCTCTATCTACACGTATTTACAGGATTAAAATAACGTTGGAAAAAAGTCTCTGGCAAAGTTGAGGTCATAGATTTCAAGGCACCATTGATAGTGTCCACAGCTGAGCAACAACAAAAATAATAATAATAAAATAAAATAAAATAAAAGAGGGGCGGGGGGAGGGGGAGAGAAACCCTCCCCAGGTCCGTCTGTATAAAAGAGGGAGGGGGTTGCCTTTGAAATGCAATAAGTTACATGCACAAGCGTTACACATGGACCCCTTTGTCTGGTCTCCCTCTCCGACCCCCCCGGCCGCTGCTTCCAGCCCTTCCGACGGCAAAACCCCGGCGTCCGAGGAGGGGCAAAGGCCCAAAGGAAAAGCAAGGGCGAGGCCCCCCCGAGCGGCCCCTAGTAAATCGTCCCCGAGGCGAGGGCGAGCGGGTGCTGCAGGGCGCCGTGGGGCTGCAGGTGGGAGCCCGGGTACCAGGGCGCGGAGTTGTCCAGGTAGCCGGCGGCGGGCGAGGGGTTGGAGGCGGCCGGGTGGCCGTGGCCGTGGGGGTGGTGGCTGAGCGATCTGGACGAGCCCTGAGATTCCCACACGGCGGGGGACTGCGGCGAGTTGCAGGCCATGGGGTCGCTGGAGCTGGGGCTGTGCTCCGGGGGCATCTCGCCGTTTTTCATGATCTTCTTGATCTTGGAGCGCTTGTTCTGAAACCAGATTTTCACCTGGAAGTGGGGAGGGGGGGGGGAGGGAGGAATCAGCAGGGCCAA